ACAGTATCCAAGCTGGGATTCAGATCAAGTCTCTTGAGTACCTGGGAGATAAGGAGGAAGAGCCAGAGGCCACAGCTAAATTCTGCAAAAGGATAATGCAAGTTAGCAGTAAGTAGCAGTGACTTTTCATTCCCAGATGTCCCCAAGCCAAGAGGCGATCCTCCCACCACATCAGGGCTTGGCTTCCCTGGCCCCCTTAGGGAGCTGCCCTTGGGTGTTGAGGTGTTGAGGGCCAGGCCTCTCCCTTTTGTTGGCCTAGGCACTGGAACCTGCTCCTTAGCCTCTCTGGCTTTACCCCACCTCCCTCCCTTCCCCCAGGAATGAAAGCACAAAGCCAGCCTTTGCTGGGGCGGCGTGGGAGCCACCACTCTCAAAATACCAGCTCGGATATTGTAGCTTGGCAGCCCTGCAGGACCCTGGGGGCTGAAGCTTGTCTGGATGGTGCTGTGGGGTTGGGCTGTCACCAATCCAGAGGGAGCCTTCTTCCCCAGGCAGATGGAATTTACTTATCAAGGAAGAATTCTGTTGCTCTTCTCCAGGAAGCTCAAGATTGGAATTAGGGAGAGGAAAGAGATTCCAAGGAAAGAACTTGCAGTGCACCCCCTCTCCCCCAAGCAGAACAACTTCTCCTTCAGCTGAGCCCTCAGATGAGGAGAGGCTAGCTGTCTAGTTACGCAGGTGGGAAGGAAAGGACTTCCTGAGGAGTGGAGCAGAGGTCAGAGGTACCAGTTGGAGATGAGAAATTCAGGGCCTTTTCCTCTCCCTCTCTTCTGTCCCCTGTCTCCTCTGCATCCCCACTTGCCCACTTGTCCTTCCCCTCTGGCAATTCCTGACTCCTCTGGCTCTCAGGTGCTTGGCTTCACAGCTCCATCTGTACGAGCAGCCTTCCTGCTGCTGGATAATCATCAGCAACCAGTTTGTCAGCTTGTGAGCAGGACAGGGCTCAAGGTCCTTGACTACACAGACAAGCTGCTAAGAGTGCTGGATCTTGGAGAGGGGGTGGGCTGTGGAGCCTGCGATGGTAGGGCCATCATCTGGAAGGCTGTAGCTCTCCTCCCAGATTTGCAAGGGAGAGCGATGGGATCTCAGGGCTGACTCACTCTGTGCTCTAACTGAGCTCTCCTTGGGGTACTCACTCCCGTACTCTCCAACGCTCTGGTCCGGCCACACAAGGGCCCAGGCCCGAGAAGGCCAGAGCAGGGCTGAGCCAGGGTTGTATCTTGGCCCTCTGGGCCTAGAGAAAGGTAAGACTGGGTATGGATGCAGGATTAGGGGCCTCCCAGTCCATCTGGGCACTGAGGTGCTTCAGAGCCTGTGTCCCATGTGCCTGCTTAGAAGGAAACATTATTTCCCCACCCCTCAATACCCCAGACTGCCCTGGTGCTTGACTGCTGCCTAGGCCCTCCTCCACGGGCTGCCCAGGAAGCCAGGGTCTGCGTCGTGCCAGGGAGATGAACAGAGGTGTAAATTGTGTGGCAAGCTGCCGGCTCTGAGGTGAAAATGAAAAGTCTTCAGGCAGTGGCAGCAGCAGGCGCAGCAGGCTGGGGTGCCAGGCACAGCACACCGTCTCCCGCCCCACTCTCCCTCACACCTTCCCCCTTCTGCAGTCTTCCCCAGATTCCCGCCCAGGCCTGGACCTGCCTGCCTGGCTCCTCTGCCATTCCCTGCCTTTCAACACGGGGCTCCCAGACTGGCCCTGGGTTCATCCTAACCCCAAGAGGGCTGTTATATCTCGTTTCCATTATGTTTTCTTTTTTTTTTTTTTTTTTGAGATAGAGTCGCATTCTGTCACACAGGTTGGAGTGCGGTGGCACTATCTTGGCTCACTGCAACCTCTGCCTCCCGGGTTCAAGCAATTCTCCTGCCTCAGCCTCCCAAGTAGCTGGGACTACAAGCATCCACCACCATGCCCGGCTAATTTTTATATTTTTAGTAGAGATAGCGTTTCACCATGTTGGCCAGACTGGTCTCAAACTTCTGACCCCAGGTGATCCGCCCGCCTCGGCCTCCCAAAGTGCTGGGATTACAGGTGTGAGCCACCATGCCTGGCCTCCATTATGTTTTCTAATTGGCTGATCTGCTGCACAGAAAAATGGGCTGTGCTTGAGTTACCTTTGTGACTTAATGTTCGTACTAGTCCCTCCATTGAGTCTTTTTGGGTTTTCTGAGTATACAGTTTTCTTATCTTCACATAATGGTGTTTTTATTCATCGTTTCCAGTTCCTCACTTCTTTTGAGATCATCTATTCTAATCTCTTCCTTTCTTTCCCTTTCCTTCCTTTCCTTCCGTCCCTTCCTTTCCTTTCTTCCCTCCCTCCCTCCCTCCCTTCCTTCTTTTTTTTTCTTTTTCTTTTTCTTTTTTGAGAGAGTTTTGCTCTGTTGCCCAGGCTGGAGTGCAGTGGTGCGATCTCAGCTCACTGCACCTCTGTCTCCCGCGTTCAAGCAATTCTGCATCAGCCTCCCAAGTAGCTGGGATTACAGGCACCTGCCACCACACCTGGCTAATTTTTGTATTTTTAGTAGAGTTAAGGTTTCACCGTGTTAGCCAGGCTGGTCTGAAACTCCTGACCTCAAGTAATCCACCCGCCTTGGCCTCCCAAAGTGCTAGGATTACAGGCGTGAGCCACCACGCCTGGCCAAAGAGGGAAAGAGGGAGGGAGCGATAGGCCAAAAGCCTACAGCACCTGGTGTTCCCAGTCTCCCATCCAAGTACTAACTAGACCCGATCCTGCTTAGCTTCTGAGATCAGACAAGATCAGGCGCATTCAGGGTGGTATGGCTGTAGACCCTTTATTTCATACTTGGGCAAATTGAGGGCCAGAGGGAAGCTACCCATTTGTCTAGCCAAGCCAATGCCCTAGGCTCCTGCCTGGGGTGCTCTCTGCCACGTCCTACTTCCTCTCTCTCCCCTCCCTGGCAATCCTGTCTTACTCCCTATCTCCTTTGCCTGCCATTTTCAGAGCTTTGGGCTCTCCTGGTGTGAGAGGAGAGTAGAGAGAGGGGAAGTGCTCACCAGCCCTTCTGCAGGCTCTCCCTGTTGGTGTGGCAAGGCCCCAGAGCACCAACAGACAGGTCTAGCTTCTGGGCCAGAGGCTTTGAGGCAGCCTGGTGGGGGTGAGAGGAAAGTTTCTGGGCAGAATAATAACCTGCTACCTTCTAGCTGCAGCCTCTTGCTATACCTCCCCAAAGCATTCACATGCCATGAAGACCAGCTGCCTGAGGGGCCTCCAGGGTCTGAGCCCCCACTTGCAGGGACTGCTGTGTGCAGGCAGGTACATGTCGGTGTCTGTAATTAAAAACGAACATGCATCACTTCGCCCAGCAAGGAGACGCCACCACCTCGGGTGGGATGCAACAGCTGCTTTCTGGCTGTGCAGCTGCCTGGGTGTCCAGCCTGGCACAGAAGGATAGATAGGATTGGGTAGCTCAGGGTGAACAGTAAGGCAAGGCCCAGGGCCCCTCAGCCAGACCTCATGCCTTTCTGGGCCTAGAGCTTAGGTAGGAAATGTGACCCAGTCCTTGGCCCACACGTTGCCTCCTTCTTTTGGGCATTTGCAGCCACCTAATTCTAAGCAAACCTTCAGCCTCTGGGTAGCCTGGGAGTGGGACCCATCATCAGCCTCCATCCTGGGCCTGACCTCTTCTGTCTTCGATTTGCTCCCAACGCCTAGATGAAGCCAGGGCACAGGGTGATGTCCTGAGTACAAAGCACTAAATGAGGATAGTTCAGGTCCTCTCTCATCTCTTTTCTTCCTCTCCCATAATTCAGAAAGACCTGCTGGGGAGGCACTGTGGGTCCTGTGGGGAAACCTTGGCCTGGTGTATCAGTCTTGCCCTGTTGTGGGAGCCCTTAGCTGAATGGGCTAAATGCCTGCACCCTACCCAGGAGACGAACTGAGGCTGAGGTGAGTTGGGAGTGTGTGGCGTGTCCCCAAGGTAGCCGAGGCAGTGGCACTGTGGCAGCCTGTGTGAGGTGGGTGAGCTGCTCCTTCCCTTTTTTACCAGCTCTCCTGAGTGGGTGAGCAGGTGTTGGTGCAGGGTGGGGTGGTGGTAGGGAAGTGCTGGTGTTTGGGGTCTCTTAGAAATTCCTGCATCATGGGTGGTGTCACAAGTCCCCATCTTGTTTCTGCATGTGGAAGACCCAGGTGGGAGGGAAGGCCCACAGGTGTGTCTGAGGGACCGGAACTCTGAATCCAGTTTCTGGCAGTCATTGGCGGCACCTTGGCATGATTCACTGACTTTTGCCTGTTAGGTGGAGAGGAATGTGAACATCTGCAACTTTCCCACCTTGGAAAGAGGCTTTATGGCCTCCTTGGGTCTGTGTGTGGGAGTGAGCTGCTCTGGGCTGTGGGTTTGTCAGATGGCCAGTGGTGTCAGTGGCAGAGCATGTTCTCATGTCCTGGCAATGCTTCCACACACTTCTGGCTGTCTGGGCTGTGGAAGGGGGTGTGCCAGGGGTAGGAGGACCCCAGGCCCACCCAGGCTCTTCACCAGAGGGGCCAGCCCAGTGTGACCTTGAGCTAGTGTCCTTGGCCGTTGGCAGTCTGCTCTCCAAGGGCTCCCTGGGGCTAGCTGAGGGAGAGGCAGCTGGCCTCGCCTTCCTCCAATGATTTTCCAATATTTACTGGCTCATTGACATATTGCCCGGGCCATGGCTCCTACCGCGCAGCAAGGACCTGAGAGCCAGCCCATGGTCACCCTCTCTTCCCTCTGAGGTTGCACCTGACTGGGAGGGAAAGGGCTTGTCCTCTCTGCCTAGTCACTCAGGGACAGAGCATATAGCTCGTCCTGCCCCTCACCCTCTATCCCCAGCCCCCACTAGACTCGTTTTTGCTCAGTGGGCAGAGCATGGAAGGGAGAGCAGTCTCCCAGGAAGGGCCAGGGCCAGCTACAAGCCCCTTCTCTGCCTGTGGGCCTGGCTTATAAGTTTGCTCCTTTGCCTTCTTCCTGCCCCTTCTCTACCCAAGTCTGAATTTTGGTAGGACCTGGTGTTACAATGATTTGGGGCTGAACAGTCAATGGCACTTTAATTAGCTCCATGCCTCCCTCCAGTAGGGAGGAGCAGGGCCCCCAGGTAACAGTGGGTAGGACCAGGCTAGTTTTGGGCCTGAGGCTGCCCCTCCAGGGGTCTGGGAACAGGCTGTAGGACCTGGTGCTCCCTGTGTGGGATGCTGTGAGGAGGGAGAGCTGGGCAGAGAAGGAAGGGCTGTGTGGCAGGGACATGGTTTTCTCTCCATCCGCTGTCTCCCTTGTTCCTCTATTCTCCCCGATGGCTTTGAGATGAAGGCGATGGCAAGGATGGAGGATGCAGTTTCCATGGCAACGGGGCTGTCCACAGCCAGGCAACTTCAGAGCCGGGCTCTCCGGAGGAGGCAGATGCGCAGAACAGCCGCAGACTGCCTCCCGCCTGCCAACAAGGGGGCTGGCAGAGCAGGTGGCACCGGGTGGCAGCCTGGTGCTGCCCAGCCTAGGGGAGAGGGTGGAAAGAGCAGTACTCCCTCTTATCATCTTGTTACTGCCAAGTTCCTCCAGAAGGGAAGCTAGGGAGGTGGCTTGAGTGTTGAGAGGGGTTGGGGTAGGGTCCTTGTTGTCCCTGGAATCTGTGGGTGGACACAGGCTCTGGCCTCTGGGATCTTCCCCAAAGCCAAATGTCTGCTGCTCTTGTGATGGCCACTCAGCTGCTACCCTTTGGACCCTTTGTCCAGAGTGTGAGGATGTTGGTGAAGGCCATGCCCTGACTAAATTCAGGGATCCTTTTCTTCCATCTAGCTACTGGGGAAGGACCTGGATCTTCTTCAGGGGCCTCCCTGCCCCTGGCCTCAGTGACCTGGCCCAGTTTCCTGAGTGGGGCTCAGGTTTGGCAGATGCCTGCCTCTAAGTGCTGGCATTGGAGGGGCCCCAGAGCCTGACAGCTCCTGCTTCCTGACACTGTGATCTTGTTTAGCATCCTCCTGGAGACCAAGGCTGGAGTGGGTATGTGGGTGGGTAGAGAAGCAAAGACAGCCATCTGTGTGTTTAGAAATGGGAGGTGTCAGGGGCATGGACTCTTGAGATGGAGGAAGCCCCAAGGGCACCCAGGTTGGCAAAGAAGATTTGAATCCAACTATTAAAAAATAATGACTTTCCTTCACTGACCTTGGAAGCATCAGGGTTGGGGTGTTCTACTTTGCCGTTGAGCACATGGAGACTTAGGATGAAAGGCTTTGCCTGGATCACCCGTGGAGTCAGAGGCTGAGCCACAACCAGACCTGGGCCAGGCCATCCACCTCCCACGTGGCCTCCTAGATGCACCCTTCCTCCAGCTGGCTGCTGAGGGTACTAGCTAGATAAACCTTTCAGGCTCACTCCCCTTTCCCTTTATCATCCATGGGCTTGCTTTTAACTGTTCTTTGCTTGCTTGCTTTAGTTGAACGAGGTTCCTCAACCCTAGGGTTGGCCAGGCAGGCGGACAAGTGGAGTCCTGGAATGGCTTCTCCTTGCCAGGCAATAAGTTTCTCATTACTGCTAAGTGGAAGGCTCATTTCAGAGCTCATGGTGAGAGCGGGGCGAGTGCTATAAATAGTCATGTTGTGAAGGTTGGCGGGTGAGCAGTGACAGGGCAGGGGCCTTGCAATCATCTTAGTGGGTATTTGTGCTCCGTCGCAGGAAAGGTTGGAGGGCAGACCGTGAGTGAGAAGCACTTGACCCCCTGTTCTGGCTGTCACTGCCCGCCTCAGGGTGGCTCTGGCATGTCTGTGCCCCTCCATACACATCAGAGCACTGGATTCTGTGTCTAGGCAGAGGGAGGTGGAGTGCCTTTTGGAACTTGGGGCCCAAAAGGTGGTACATCAGCCCATTGCGTAATGTCCTGTGCTAGATCTACTTGTCTTACCTGCCCTTCCAGTCCAGGGTCTCCCTCCTCCCCATCAGCTAAAACCCTGGGTTTATACGTGAGGAGGTATGGGAACCACACCTGATAGTCTCAGAGGTTGATATAGATCTGAACTAGCAGGGGAATTAATGGGAGTGGAAGTGGTGTTTAACTGGCCTTGATCCTTGTTCAGGGTCTATAGTAGCATGTCTGCAAGAGCAAGGGCTGGAGGCCTAAGGACTGAGGGTACTGGTCTTCTGATATCTATGGGTCAGTCAGCGTTGTCCAGGGTGGAGAGGAGGTCAGGTCCAGGGGGTCCTGGGATGGAAAGTCTGGCAGGTGAGACTTTGGCTTGGGCACATGGGGTCCCTATCCTGGGGTGATCCAGGGGTGCCAAGCTTTATGGCTCTGTGAGACCAGTGCCTCCTGGAACAGATTTCTGGTCTCAGATGTACACATAAGAGAGCAGTGCCAGGCTCCTGGGTTCTTTTACCGCTTGCCCTAGGGTGTCATCCTCGGTCTTCAGACTATTATTGCACTCTGGACTATGGGGCCCTGCTGTTAGGGTGATCTATGTGTGCCTCCCTCAGCAGGGCTTTGGAACTTGGAAGAGGTTGAGAGGCAGAACCAGCCCCTGGGACGGAATAGGTAATAGACAGTTCTGGGGGCCACCCAGGGACAAGTGAGTCAGGGGCCCTGTAGGGCTCATTTTACCTTTTGCCACTCTCTGACTAGGCACGGAAGCTGTGTGCCTATCCTCGGCTGGAGATCTACCAGGAAGACCAGATCCATTTCATGTGCCCACTGGCACGGCAGGGAGACTTCTATGTGCCTGAGGTGAAGGAGACAGAGCGGAAATGGCGGGGGCTTGTGGAGGCCAGTGATACCCAGGTGGATGGCACAGGTACAGAAGGTGGGGTATGAGGATGGGGCCCTCCTGGAGCTCCTCTCTTCTGGACTCCAGGGGCTTGGTTGAGGAGGCTCCTCCCTCTCTGGGTTGGCACTGTGGGTGTCAGGCTATGCTTGGCAGAGGGAGAAAGGAGACCCACCTACCCGAGGACCCACATGTGGAGTTGCCTATTCCCAGACACATGGATCTACATAGATCTGGATTCACACACATTACCTCCTGGCAACACAGATACAAAGACCCTGCCTGGATTCCCTCCAGATGCAGCAGGAGTACCCTTGGAAACAAAGATCACAGACAACTTGATGTTCATGGGAGGGGGCTGAGGCTGCTCAGGAAAGGAGTCCCTTGGGTGGGGCTCAGCAGGAAGTAAGATTGGCATAGATCTGGAAGGTAAGGAAGGGAGCAAAGTGTTCTCCTGTCCCTCAGTACGGGCCCCACCCAGAGCCAGCTGCTTTCTCCCTGCCAGGGAACAACCAGGGAGCATGCAGAGGGGAGCCAGGAGATCCGTCCCCTGCGCCATCCTCCAGGGCCAGTCCACACTCCTGCTGGCAGCCTCAAGGCCCCAGGTCCAGGCTGGAAGGCTGCTTGCCTGCCCACCTGTCTGCAATGATCTCTGTGACCCCGGGCTGTCTCAGGCACAAGGGGATCTGCTGGGTTACATCCCAGATGGTCCCAGGGGACCTTATCCTTGGCCAACCTGGTGGAATTTGTGACTTCTAGGAGTGGTACAGGGCTGTGGGGAGAGGAACTGTCCCTCCTCCCCTCCTTCTTTAACAGATGATCTGCCCATCCAGTCAACAGCCAAGGTCACCCTAGGGAGATGTGTGTCAGCTAGGGCTGGACAGGAGCAGTCTCTACTCCCTAGGGGCCTGTGTCCAACACAGTTAACTTCATCTGCCACTTAATTACCTCCATGGGGTACAGCTCCCTTCTGCCTGGTAGTGCCCAGCAGACACTCTTCAGTTCCCCTACTGTGGGCACAGGACATGGCACAAGGTCAGCAGGCCCAGGCAGCCTCCAGGGCAGGAAGACAGAGTGCCTTCACTTTCCTGTGACCTCCCTCTGCTGCCAGCCTCCCCCTCCTTGACCCACCCACCCAGCTTCCTTCCCTCCCAAACACTGCCTGCCAGGGACATTGAAGGACTGCTTGGCACCCGCTACAGCTGGCTGCAGCAGCGGCTCCCACATTCCCCAGCTCCTCAGCCTGTTTTCCTCCCCTCCAGCCCGCCCACCCACTCCCTGGTGTTGGGACCAAGGGGTCTGCCCGCCTCTCACAGGGCCTGTCCTGACACCCCAGAGGGACTCGGTGTTTGCCCGCCAGGTGCATGCCACTGACACAGCAGTTGGTGGTGGGTGCATGCAGGGTGTCTGACTGCCCAAGGCTTGGCCTGCCCCTGCCCACCTCCCTGCTGTGGCCCCAGCTTGGGCTGAGAGGTGAAAGGGGGTGATTAGCTGCCTTGTGCCTGTTACTACATTGATGTATTATTTAGCTCCAGAGAGGCGATGAATATTTGATCATCTTGCACTGGCTGTGGGCAGAGTGGGAGGGAGGGATTGGGGTGAAGAGGGTGGACTTCAAATCCCCTGCCTCAGCAGCCCTGGGGATTTAGATAGGGCCCTGCCTTGCCTGGTATCTTCTCCTCAGGGATGCAGGCATGGGACTCTTGGACCTCCTCCTGTGTAGATCTCAGTGGGGCTATAGGGATGCTACTTCCCTGTATTGCTTTTTTTTTTTTTTTTTTTTTTTTCTTCTTCTGAGGCAAGGTCTGACCCTATTGCCCATGCTGGAGTGGTGCAGTGGCAAGATCTCAGCTCACTGCAACCTCTGCCTCCCGGGCTTAAGCTGTCCTCCTACCTCAACCTTCTAAGTATCTGGGACAACAGGTGTGCACCACCACGCCTGGCTAATTTTTGTATTTTTTATAGAGATGGTGTTTTGCCATATTGCCCAGGCTGGCCTTGAACTTGTTAGCTCAAGTGATCCTGCCTCAGCCTCCCAAAGTGTTGGGATTCTAGGCATGAGCCACCATGCCTAGCTGGATTCCTTTTTTTTTTTTTTTTCCCCCTAAAGATGGAGTTTTCCTTTTTTGCACAGGCTGGAGTGAAGTGGCATGATCTTGGCTCACTGCAACCTCCGCCTCCTGGGTTCAAGCGATTCTCCTGCCTCAGCTTCCCGAGTAACTGGGATTACAGGTGCCTGCCACCATGCCTGGCTAATTTTTGTATTTTTAGTAGAGATGGGGTTTTGCCATATTGGCCAGGCTGGTCTGGAACTCCTGACCTCATGTGATCCCCCTACCTCAGCCTCCCAAAGTGCTGGGATTACAGGCGTTAGCCACTGTGCCTGGCCTCCAGCTGAATTCCTTTGCTTGAAGTGTATATATGTCCCCAGGGGCTGTCTTCATCTCAGCAGGCTGTCCTGGCCTGAAGGTGGCACCCCTAGGCTCCTTCCTCTGAACACTCCTAGCCTAGGAATTGGGTGGTAGGAGGTAGCATGCTGGGAAGCAGGCACATTCCTGTACCTGGGGTCCCAAGAGAGCCATTGAGTGGGTGGGCAGACAGAACATATAGTTTAATAGGGCCAGGGAGAAACTGTCTCCCTCCTTTGCTCTTTTCAGGCCTGCAGCCCCTAGGGCACTGATCATTATTTAAGGAGCAGTGAGGGCCTGGCATCCTGTCCCCTGGTCAGAAGAAACTACCCAAAACTCATTCCCCCACTTCTCCCCTACCGCCTCATTCACAGGCCCCTGTCCTGGGAGCCACACCTGGGGCCTCAGCAGGAGGGGAGCCCTGAGCCAGCAGCCTGGGCTTCTAGGACTTACCTCACCTCTGCCAGTAGCACCCAGAGGGCATATTCTGGGGGCTGAGTGGGTAGTAGGGGTAGGGAGAGACCCCAAATTCCCCCACCTCCTAATTCTCCCACCCCTAACCTAGGCCCCAGCTGAGGCTCAAGAAAAGCCCCAGGCTGAGTCCAGGTGCCAGGCAGACCCCAGCTGCACCTAGCTTGGCTCCAGCACCATGGAGACAGCGACTGGGGAAGCTGGCCCACCCCTCACCTGTGATGTTTGACAGCTGACCCTCTCCCCATCACACATGAAGGGTAGCAGATCCACTCTGTCCCAGTCTGGATTCCTGCACACAGCAGGCCTGAGCCCTGTGTTCCTCCTTGCTACCCCAGCCTGCATTCAGTGCCTCTGATCCAGGGAGATGAACCCAGGGGTTGTTCCTGGACAGGGCAGATGAAGGGGCTGCTTGTTTGGAGGATGTATTGGGGGTGGAAGGAACAGGTTAGAAGGGGTTTGGGCCATCAGCCTGGCTCAGCACTGGTTTGGGGCACCCCAACCACCAGCAGAGTGCTCTCATCATCCGCTTTTGCTATCTTGTGGTTCAGGAAGCACCAGTCGTTGGGGGTGGGGTGGGTAAGGGTTTCTCAGGGTCGGCCCAGGCATAGGGAGAGAAAGCCAACATGTTTTATCCCAACACCCTCCTCCTTGCAGCTGGTTGAGTGTTTCTCAGGCCTTCTCCATCCTGCTCATACTTCAGCTCCCCCCTCAAGTGGGGACTTGGTGTGGGCCAGAGGCAGGGGCCTGCTGACTCCCTGGATGCTGCTCCTGGGAACCCTGCATGGGGGAGGGCTGCAGAGGGGCCTCCTGCTGTATTCTGCAGTCCTCATGCCCTTGGGTGATGTTCTGTAGCTGGCCCTGGATACATCTCTCTCCAAGCTTGAAATGGGGTTGGGGGAAGGTGGAGGGGACACTACTTGGGTCTCTTTGTTCTATCTCAGCTCCTCACCTCAGGGCTGAGTGGCCCTTAATAAATGTAGGGGGAAGGGCAGCAGGCTGTGTGGAAGTGCAGGGAGCTGAGGCTAATTCAGGGTGGGGAGAGGAGTGCACAGCTACCTCCTCCCTCCCTCCCCGCTCTTTCCCTCTGCCCTGTCTGTGCAGCCCCAGTCAGGGTAGAAGACAGAGGGCAGCTGGAGTGAGCCCCCTGAGCCCAGGAGGCTGCATTATTCATGAGTGCACTGTGTGCTGAGTTGCCTCTCCCTGGAGGAGAGGGTGGGGTGGTCCTGGCTAACCTGTGCTCCCTTTTCCTGGCCATAGGAGCTGACACAATGAGTGACACGAGTTCTGTAAGCTTGGAGGTGAGCCCTGGCAGCCGGGAGACTTCAGTTGCTACACTGTCACCTGGGGCGAGCAGCCGTGGCTGGGATGATGGTGACACCCGCAGCGAGCACAGCTACAGCGAGTCAGGCGCCAGCGGCTCCTCTTTTGAGGAGCTGGACCTGGAGGGTGAGGGGCCCTTAGGGGAGTCACGGCTGGAACCTGAGACTGAGCCCCTGGGGACTACCAAGTGGCCCTGGGAGCCCAGTGCTCCTGAGAAGGGCAAGGAGTAACCCGTGACCTGCACCCTCCTGCAGTGCAGTTGCTGAGGAACTGAGCAGACTCTCCAGCAGACTCTCCAGCCTTCTTCCTCCTTCCTTTGGGGGAGGAGGGGTTCCTGAGGGACCTGACTTCCCCTGCTCCAGGCCTCTTGCTACGCCTTCTCCTCACTGCCCTTTAGGCTCCCAGGGCCAAAGGAGCCAGGGACTATTTTCTGCATCAGCACCCAGGGCTGCCGCCCCTGTTGTGTCTTTTTTTCAGACTCACATCGGAGCTTCCAGGACCCACAATAAAGCCAATGATTTACTTGTTTCACCTGGATTTGGGTTGTGTATTTGTTTGTTAGTTCTGCCTTGGTTGGGGGTGGCGGGGAGTGGCTGTACAGATAGGCTGGGAGTGGGAAGGAGCCTCCCCTCCCCAGGACAAAGAACAGAGGGAACATGGCAGGTACCCTGGGGTCGGGGGAGGAGGGGTGTTAGAGATCCTCCACCTCCTACTCTGTGACCCCAGTGGCCAGCTGCCCCCCCACTGCAGTTGCCAGAGAGCAAGCAGAGCCTGGCTTGGGTGAGAGCTGAGCATGGGGTACCCTCCAGGGTTCAGGAGTGGGGAGCTCACAGCCTGTCTTCGTCTGCCTCCAAGGGATGCCTTTGTGTCTGTAGCTCTAGTGTGCCTGCACGCTGGTACTTCCCCAGTAGGCGAGGCTGCCCCACTGTGCCTACCAGTGTCTGTGTACCTGTGTGTGTGCATGTGCCCCCATGCTCATGCATTTGGCTCTGTATAACCACGGATGGGGCTGCTTGGGTAAAGCTGTGCCCAGGTGAGCATCAGGGTATGATTGTACCTGAGCGTGGCTGAGTCTGTGTGGATGGCTGTGTGCCTGTGTGTGTGTGTGTGTGTGTGTGTGTGTATTGCTGTGCTTTGTGTCTGTGTATGGTTGTATTATAGGAGCATGTGAGGCCATCTAACAGCATCTCTATGGGGTCTTTGTTCATATAGAACTGTGTGTGGCTGTGTGTGTAACTGTGTGTGTGGTGATGTTCATGACATTCATGTATAAAGCTATGTGTTTTGCTGTGTCCACATATAAAAGCTATGGCTCTGTGCAGCCGTGTATCCATAATTATGGCGATGTATGTGTGGACATGTTTTGGTGTACAGCTATTTGTGGCATGTCTGTGTGAGCAGCTGTATATATGTGGCTGTGTCCACATGTGCAGCCATGTGTAGACATGGTCACATGTTCTTAGGGGCAGGGGTGTGCCCATGTGTATTATTGCTGTCTACAAGTATAGCTGTGTGTGGTTGCATGTTTACATGTACTGTGTATGTGGCCATGTCCACATGTACAACTGTGTGTAAGGCTAGGTGTATGTCCTCATCTGTGTGCACACAGCTGGGAGTAGTGGCTGCCTAGCTGTGTGTAACTGTGTGTCCATGAGCTGTGACTGTGCAGCTTGTTTGCTGCAGGCCACATCATGGGCTTTTCTGGCTGGTGCTGTACATAGCCATATCTGTGTTTACAGCCCTGTGCCTTTTGTGAGGCTGACTTGTAGAGCTGGTTGGGAGTGTGGCTAGAAGGAGTGTGTGACTCCTCACCTCAGCACCCTCCTGCTGTCAACAGAGGCCTGGCCCATTGCTCACCTACCCCAGGGAGCGGTTGCTCTTCAACAGCCAG